TTCAAGTGTCTTGGGCTTCCTTCCAGCATGGCAGCCTCAAGGAGTTAGACATCTCAAGTTGCAGGTAAGGGCTCCAAGAACAATCTTCCAGCAAACAAGATGAAACTGTATGACCTTTTATGACCAAGTCTCAGACATCACACAGCATCACTTCTGTAATACTCTCTTGGTTGAATTCATCAAAAAAGGGGATATAGGCTCCAATTCTTTTTTCTCTTTCTTTCTTCTTTCTTTCTTTCTTTCTTCTTTCTTTCTTTCTTTCTTTCTTTCTTTCTTTCTTTCTTTTTCTCTCTCTTTCTCTCTCTCTCTCTCTCTCTCTCTTTCTTTCTTTCTTTCTTTCTTTCTTTCTTTGAGACAGAGTCTGGCTCTGTCACCCAGGTTGGAGTACAGTGACATGATCTTAGCTCACTGCAACTTCTGACTCCTGGGTTTAAGTGATCCTCCCACCTCAGCCTCCCGAGTAGCTAGGACTACAGGTATGTGCCACCACAACCAGCTAATTTTTGTATTTTTGGTAGAAATGGGGTTTCACCATGTGGTCCAGGCTAGTCTCAAACTCCTAAGCTCAAGCAACTCACCTGCCTCGACCTCCCAAAGTATTGGGATTATAGGCGTAATCCATGGCGTCTGGCCTAGACCCCACTTCTTAATCCAAGAAGTGGCAAAGACTTCACAGCTGTTTTTTCAAAGTACCACCCCTTTTGACTAAGCCAGTCCACCCCTGAGTATCACCCCATCAGATATGGGAAATAATGCCTCTGCAAATCAGATGGTCACTGCAGCCCTGATGGTAACAGCAAATGATCAGGAATAACCCAAAGGTCCATCAATAGTGGGCTGGGTAAATACATCATGATGTTTCCACACAGTGGAATACTATGCAGTTAAAAAAAAAATAGGCTGGGCACAGTGGCTTACACCTGGAATCCTAATATTTTTTGGGAGGCTGAGACAGGAGGAGCACTTGGGCTCAGGAGTTCGAGACCAGCCTGGGCAATGTAGTGGGGCCCCATCTCCACAAAACATTTTTTAAAAATAATTACCCAGGCATGGTGGTATGTACCTGTAGTCCCAGCTACTTGGGAGGCTGAGGTGGGAGGATCGCTTGAGCCTGGGAGGTTGAGGCTGCAGTGAGTTGTGATCATACCACTGTACTCCAGCCTGGGTGACAGAGTGAGACCCTGTCTCATAAATAAATAAATAAATAAACAAACAAACAAACAAACAAGGTTATTCCATGTATATTGTTACAGAACCATTCTGAATACTACTGTGCAGTGAAAAAAGCAAGGTGCAGGACATTGTGTGTGCTAGGCAGCCTCCAGATGACACACAATAATTCTCACCTCCCGGGACCTAATGTGGTCCTCTCTCACATTAACTAAGGCTGACCTGTGTACTTAGGAGGATACAGTGGAAACATGTCTTCCAAGGCTAGGTCATAAATGATATTGCAGCTTCCACTCTGTTCCATCTTGGACCACTTGCCCTGACAGAAACCAGCTGCCATGTTGTGAGGACACTCAAGTAGCCCTATCGAGACATCTATGTGGTGAGGAGCTGAGACCTCCTGCCAAAAGCCACATAATGAGCCATCCAGAAAGTAGAACCTCCAGCCCCAGTGGAGCCTTCAGATGACAGCAGCCCTGGCCAACTGCTTGACCACAGCCTCATGTGACACTGAGCCAGAATCACCTATCTGAGTTGCTCCCAAATTCCTGCCCCTCAGAAACTGTGAGATAAAAAAGGTTTATTCATATTTCAGACTGCCAAATTTTGGGCTAACTTGCTATGCAGCGACAGCAATAGATAATGAATACAGTATGTACATGGATTCGTCCATTCTTACATTGCTCTAAAGAAATACCAGAGACTGAGTAATTTATAAAGAAAAGAGGTTTAGTTGGCTCACAGTTCTGCAGGCTATACAGGGAGCATGGTGCTGGCCTCTACTCAGCTTCTGGACAGGTCTCAGGAAACTTCCAATTATGGCAGAAAGCAAAGAGGGGGCAGGCATGTCACATGGTGGGAGCAGGAGCAAGAGAGAGATGAAGGAGGTGCTATATACTTGTAAATGATCAGATCTCATGAGAACTCACTCGCTATCATAGGGATAGTACTAACAGGGATGGTGCTAAACCACTCATGAGAAATCCACTACCATGATACAATCACCTACCACCAGGCCCCACCTCCAACATCGGGGGTTACAATTCAACATGAGATTTGGGTGGGGACACAGATCCAAATCATATCAGTATGGTAGTCTAACATTTGAGTAAATGTATTAAGTATTTCTGGAAGGAGGCCGGGTCTGGTGGCTCATACCTGTAATCCCAGGACTCTGTGAGGCCAAGGTAGGCAGATTACCTGAGGTCAGCAGATTGGGACCAGCCTGTTCAACATGGGGAAACTCCATCTCTACTGAAAATACAAAATTAGCTGGGCATGGTGGTAGCCACTTGTAATCCCAGCTACTCGGGAGGCTAAGGCAGGAGAATCACTTGAGCTCGAGAGGTAGAGGTTGCAGTGAGCCAAGAGTGCACCACTCACCACTAATTCCAGCCTGGGGGCGACAAGAACAAAACTCCTCTCAAATAAAAAAAAAAAAAAAAGGCTGGGCCGTGGGGCTCATGCCTGTAATCCCAGGACTTTGGGAGGCTGAGGAGGGCAGATCACAAGATCAGGAGTTTCGAGACCATCCTGGCCAACATGGTGAATCCCCATCTCTTACTAAATACAAACAATCAGCTGGGCGTGGTGGCACGTGCCTTGTAGTCCCAGCACTCGGGACGCTGAGGTAGGAGAATCACTTGGAACCCAGGAAGGTGGACATTGT